GTTGGCGGCGACTCTCCCGCGGCTGAACACCCTGTTCGCTGCAAACTGAGCGAGGCAGTCAGCCGGGGGAAAGGGGCTCGGGGGGTAGGGAGGCAGGTAGTGGGTGTCCCTCTGTGCCCTGTGGGCAGGGCTCCAAGCAGCTGGGGCCCCCGGGCATGTCTCCCACCCAGGCCCCTGCCCAGCAGCTGCCAGGCAGCAGGGAGTAGCCCCGAGACCAAGCCCTGGAGCAGTGGGGCCCAGGGCACCCCAGCCCCATGCCAGGGCTGCACTGCCCACCTGCTCCTCCTGGTCAAACACGAGTGTCGGGTCCATGTCGGTGGCATCCACCATTAGGCTGTCGTCGCTGGGCAGCAGGGGCGCATCGAGGGCTGCTGGGGGGACAGGGCAGGGGGAGCTGGCGACCTGGCTAGGTGAGAAGGCCTACATACACGGAGAGAGCCAGGCCTGGCGGTGGGGGAGGCACAGATGCATGAAACCTTTACCCCAGTGCACCAAGGGGAGTGGACAGATGCCTGGAGCTGGGATAAACAGCCGCCCGGCTGAGGACACAATGGTGGCGCAGGCAGTGCAGCCTGGCAAGCGCCTGGGGCTGGGGCCATGACTCCCAGATGCCCGCACTGGCATTGCTCTGCTGGGACATGGCCCCAGCACTGGCACCAGGAGGCAGGTCGGGCATGGGGGAGGCAGCACAAAGCCCCTGGCTGGCCCCATCACCCTCTCCCTGCCCCGCGCCACTCAGACCCCAGCTACGCTCCACCTGCCCAGGGCTGACAGGCCACGCCAGCCCCCCACGGGGCATCCTCCCAGCATGTCTTGGGGCCATGCCATCCGCCCGCCAAGCAGCCGGGGATCAAACAGAGCCATCCCCAGCCTCATAGCACCAGCTCAAGGACACTGGTGCCTGGCCGGTGCCCCCCGCTCCACAGCCTACGGGGCTAGGGGCAGGCGGGACGGTCCTGAGTGCCCGAGAGGGCAGGCTGCTGCAGAGGGGACAGGACTACTCACGCTCTGCCATGGTCTCTGTGCATGGGCAGGCGGTGGCAGTGCCCGCGGAGGAGGCGGCGTCCCTGGCGGGGCCGGCGGTGTCTCCAACCCTCCCCAGGCTGCGCCCGGCCCGCGGGCTGATGCTGGCAATATTCTGTGGCGCCTTTGTGACCTCAGCGCCGTGACCTCGCCCCGGCTGGGGCAGCACCACCTCCGCCCGGGGCCTGGGCAGCAGCACCAGCCAGCAGCCCCCATCCCCAGCTGCGCCCAAGCTGCCCCTTCCCGAAGGGACCGGTCACAGCCCCGCAGGGCAGAGCCCCTTCCAGCTCCTGCGTGGGGGCCGGCTCTGCTGGGCACTTCCATCATCTCTCGCTAGCTGCATCGTGGAGGGCGCTGCGTGTCCTCCTCCAGCTCAGAGGTGCCCCGAGCACGTGGGCTGCAAGCCATTGGCACATGCACCCGGGGGGCTTTGGAAGTTGCTCTCTGGGCATGCTGGATTAGGGCTGAGATGTGGTGCAACCAGCCCAGGAGGGTGATACGGTGGGGAGGGGCATCGATGGAGCCGTGGTGGATGAGGAAGGGGGTGAGGTGAGGGCTACCAGGCTTGGGCCGTGCCTCCCCAGTAAGGAGGTGGAGGGTGCTGGAGGGGCAGGAGTGCTCAGCACTGCCAGGCTGGAAAGGGCTTGCTTTGACACCCTGGTCTCCTAGGGGACCTACAGCACCGGAGCTAAGGAGACCTCAGCCCTGCAGGAGCCACAGGAGAGGGGCTGGGTGCTGGAGGGAAACCCACCCCCGTAAGCCTTGGCTTGCAGACCTGGACTGACAAGATGATGCCAAGGGCCTCTGAGCAGTGGGATGACCAGGCAGGTCTGCCCAGGGAGAGGGGGAGCCATTACCGGAGCCCAACACACCACACCAGAGGCTGCAGCTCCAATGCAAACCAAGGCTTTATTTGGAGAGGTTAAATGCTGCAGCACGCAAGTCAGAACTGTGGCACGTGGGATCACACCGGCTCCCTGCCCTCTGGCTTCCTTCAGCCCCGCTGCCCGGAGCCTGCTCTGCGGGATGTGCTCTTCCCCGGGCAGGGGCTGGCTGAACAGGGCACAGGGCTGGCAGCCGAGTGCCGGGGGCACTAGGGCATCACGCAGCGTCAGAGCCCAACATCAGCTTCAGGAGCATCTTTGTGGCCTAAGGGCACTGGCAGGGAAAGCTTCCCATGAATCACCCCCTTGGGTCAAAAATCCCTTGGTCAGGGTCCTGCTGTCCTACCTCACCCTACAGAGCCCCGGTGCTTATCTGATGGGCCTAGCTCCACCCGGGCTCAAACACTGGAGCCTGGCAGTAGCTCGAGGGAGCCCAGGCCTGTTCAGACATCGCTGGTGGGAAGAGGGTCACACGTGCTCAGAGTCTCAGAAGAGCGAGGCTGTCGCACCCCCAACCTGCATCATGGGGACCTGGGAAGTAGGGGGACAAGCTGGTCTGGTGCCAGGTCTGAGCAGGTTATAGAAGAGCAGGCTGAATTCAGGCTGCAAGCAGTGATATGCCCCCTCACCCCACCATACAAAGATCCTCATGAGCAAGGCAAGAAGTGCCAGGAATGCAGAGCTAGGGACGCAGAGCCAGGTAAGAGAGACCAGCCTGGCACTCGGGGCAAGGGGCAAGGGGCGCTGGCTGGACACTACTCCATTTCCATGTCCTCTGACTGTTTGCCGCCCGGGGCGAAGGGACCCACGAGCCAGGAGAGCGGCATGCTCTGCCCCACGTGCTCCACCAGCTCGTCCAGCAGCTCGCGGGCGCGGGCCACGCGCTCCCGGCTCCGGCTCAGGACGCTGCCTGGCAGGTCCTGGAGGGAGCCGGCTGCCGAGAAGGCCGCGCGGAGCTCCTCGACCTGCTGCCGCACCTGCAGCACCTTGTCCTGGATGCCGGTGGGGAGGCCTTGGAGGCTGGATGCCAGCATCTGGCTGGCGGCTTGGAGCTGCTGGGTGAGGCCTCGGGACATGGCCAGGGCCAGAGACTCCACCTGCTAGGAGGAGACAGGGCCGGGTCAGGCGGCCGGTTCCCCCAGGCCAAGGGGCAGGTGGGTAGAGCAGAGCCCAGGTCACCACCTACCTCCGGCTGCTCAGCCATCACGGCCTTGCTGTCCGCCTCCTTGTCCTGGCCCGCGCCGAGCTGCGTCTGCCTCCACTCCAGCCACATCTGATGCAGCTTCTCCCGTCCACCCTGGACCTTCTGATCAACCCCCTGCTTGACGTGCTCCATCTGGAAGGGGAAGAGACCAGCTGGGTCAGACACTTGGGCGGGGGCCAGCAGGATTGCCTGCCAGCGGATGGTGCCTGGGCAGTGGATAGGGCAGAACCCCGGCATGCCCAGGCAGCATGGCATCCCTACCAGTTCGATGGTGTGGTGGAGCTGGCCCAGCCCCTCCTGGGTGCTCTGCCGGATGCGCCGCAGCTTGCCCAGGGAGTGCTGGTAGGCACGGTGCCGCAGCTTGCTGGACAGGGAGCCCAGGCGCACAAAGTAGCTCTGCTGCTGCTTCTGCTGCTCCACTGAGGCCACGTCGAAGCCCTCCACTGCTGTGGCCAGGTTGGCTGGAAGCAAAGAGCAGAAGGCACAAATAGGGGGAGGTCAGTGGTGGCAGCGGTGACAGCATCCCCCTCCCTGGAGCACAAAGCTACAGGCAGAAAAGCTGGTCCCCAGATCATGATGCCTCTGTCTGTGTCCTCCTCCTCCTCCTGCTGCACCCCATGGTCAGGGCATGGGCTGCTCGAGCCCCCCGACTACCACGTGGGGAGGATGGGCTGCACCTCCTGGCATCAGGAGTGTGTCCCAGACCCGGTCTCAGCTTGCAGACTGCACCCCCCACCCCGTCCAGGAAGCAGAGCCACCCCCACACCGCTGCTCACCCAGCTCCTCGTCGGTCATGGGCAGGTAGTGATCCACCAGCTCCTCCGACTTGCCCAGCACAGCGCCCATGCCACTTGCCACCATCTGCCCCATGGCCGAGCCCATGACTGTGCTCACGCCGCTGGCCACAGCTGCCCGGGTCAGCTCCACCCCGCCCTGCACAGCACCCTTGGTGAGGTCCACTGCGCCGGTCACGCGGCTGCTCACGGCGCTGACGCTGCTGGAGAGGGCATCCTTGGCGCCCGTCACTGTGGATGTCACCAGCTCCTTGGTGTCGGAGAGGATCTAGAGCGGGTAGAGGCAGGCATCAAGGGGGAGATGGAGGGTGGCTGGGGGTGGAGGCAGGCATCGCGGGAGATGGAGAGGGGGCACTGCAGAGCCCCATCTCGAGGGCAGGGAGGGCGCAGGGCTGGGCGCTCAGCAGTGCAGCCCTGCACTGGGTCCTGCTCACGCCTTACCTCTCAGGCACAAACCAGGGCATCTTCTCCTGCCCTATGCTCCCAGGCTCAGGGGTACCGGAGCATGTATAACCCTTCTCCGGTCACCCAGCCCTAAGGGCATCCCACCCACCTCTCGCGTGGCAGGAGCAGGGACATCACCTTGTCTGTGGGCTGCTGGAGGATGGGCAGCGTCTCCTCCAGCTTGTCCAGCCCCTTGCAGGCGTAGTCATTTGCCGTCGAGACTGCAGGAGGGAGGGAACAGGTTTAGCTGCCCCAAGGGGCTGGTAGGAGCCCCAGCCATGCTGCCCCGGGAGCCAGGACCCCAGGAGTCTCCAGGCAGGGCTCGAGGGCAAGAGGAGCTGAAGCTGGGAAGGGAACGGGGAGCAGGGCTGGAAGGCTGCAGAGAGCAGGGGGATGCTCGCATCTGCCGCGGAGCATGGAGGGGCCATCACAGGCTGCCCCAGAGCTTAAGCCACCTGTGGACACAGCAGGCTCGGCAGATGGGTTGGGGAGCCTGCAGCCAGATGCAGCAGCAGGGAGCTCAGCCCCCAGCAAGCTGCAGCAAGCGCAGCTGCCAGGACCCCCTCCTGCCCCCCCACGACTCACTCTGTGGCTCCAGCTTGGCAAGGAGGGGCTGGGCCCCACTGGCTGCCACCGCACCGAGGGTCTTCACGCCCTTCTCGGCCACGTCGCACACGGACCGCATGTAGGGGTGGCTGTCCTTGGTGGAGGCATAGGCCGCCGAGACCATGTCGTAGGCTGAGCTCACCAGGGGCAGGCTGGCCACGCGGCTGGCCAGGTTCTGCTGGGGAAAAGCCAGGGGTTAGTGGGGCCCTGCATTGACCACAGCCACGAGCAGCCTCTGCCGGCCGCGCCTGGACCCGACACCTGGCGGGCAGGAGATGCCCCACCCATCAAAATCAGCCCCCAGGGAGCAGAGACTCCCTGCCCCAGCATGGGGTGCAGGTAATTGGGTGCCTGTAAGTCTGGGCATGTAGCAGAGCGCCTCTTACCAGCCACGGGAGGCTTTGCTTGAGGTATAAGGGGTGCGGTCTGCCCTGATGCCCCTTAGGGGCGAGATACTATAATAGTTGCCCCCCTGTGTGCAACTGCTTCTGGATTAGGGCTTGTCTGTGTGCTCCTAAACTGGGGGGGAAGGTACACCAATGTACAGCATCACCCAGGACAAACTGGCAGCATCCAGGCCCCCTGGTCAAACCTGCTGTGCCAGGTCTGCCGACCAGGAGGACTAATATCAGTGCAAGCTGGAGCTGGACTGGCAAGTGCTCTCCCACGGGCATCAGTGCAGCTGTGGCCAGGTTGGCTACAAGCGGACATCTCGGGTCACCGCACCGTTTCTCCCAGCTCAGGCTGCCGGGGCATGCAGGTGAAGGGTTGAGACCACAAAGCTCCCTCGTCTCAAAGGGAGAGCACGCGGGCGTGCAGGGATGGGCAGAGGCATCCAGCTGGTTGCCCAAGGGTCTGGCTTGTACCCACCTGCTGCTCTGGCTCCAGCTCCGGCTCTGGCTTCATGTCCGGCTCGTTCGGGGAAGCCTTGCTGGGCTTGGGAGACGTCATGGTGGAATCTGGGGCTACGGCAAGGAGAAGATTAGCTGGTGCGGGCGGACGCCTGCCTCCCCAGATAAGCCCAGAGTAAACTCCAGGGCCACAAAGCCTGGGCAGAGGTCAGAGCAGTGTGGAAACAGCAGCCTCCTCGAGGGCTGGGTGCAATGTAAGAGGTTGAGTAACGCCCCTGCCGGTCCCGGGGGACGGAGCCGCCCAGTGCTGACGACACCCCGTGGCAGATACGCTCTCCAGTCCGGGGTGCAGCAGGCGTGCGGCTACAGCCCCAGCAGTTGTGCAACAGCAGGAGTGAGGCCTTCTTCCGCAGCTTTTGCAACACCCCCCTCCCCTCCGCTTGCTTCCTTTGGGCTGTGGCCAAGGCTCCCTCCCTGCCGCTGGCTGGCGCGGGGGGCCAGCCTACACAGAGCTCGGGCAGGAGAAGCCAGGGGTGAATGCAAAGCACGGGCACTGTTCTGTGCAAGCTGCCTGTGTGGACTATTGTGCGCCGCACTGAGGGCCTTTGTGGAGCTGGGCTGGCTCCAGTGTCAGGCGAGACTGAAAGCAGCGCTCGGTGCCGAGCAGCTGTTCCTGCGCGGGGCACCACAGGAAGCCACAGTTGAGAGCACACTGTGGTCTCAAGCGGGTCCGTTCCCCGGGGTGGAAGCAGACACGCTCAGCCCCAGAGCCCAGGGCTATGGGAACAGCCATGGGAGCGAGAACCTGGTTGCAAGGACTAGATGCCTTCTTGGCTCCTGTCTCTGCCACCAGGAAGCCGGCTAGGGCAGAGCTGGCCGCCTTTCAGGCTGGGAGAGCGTGGAGGGAAGGGCCCCCGCGCTCGCTTGGCTGGGAGCAGTCAGGGCACAGCGGCTCGGTGAGCACGAGGCAGGAGTGGGGCATGCGGGCACCAGCCCCAGGTGCTGGTTTAGAAGGAGCAGCAATGCCAGGCTCGGTGCTCCCCCACCTCAGCCTAGAGCACTGAAACATCTCGTTTCACCCCTGGATGCAAACGGCGGCTGCAAACTGAGAAGCTTTTGGATCCCCAGGAGGGGCCAGCATGTCCTCAAATGCTAGCCCTCCACGCCACGCTGGAGCAACAGCTCTGGCTGTAGGGGAGGTGTTGCTTGGAGCCTGCAGCCCGGGGGTAACGGAGCTCCCCAACCTGCCAGAGGGTGCGTCTACACACACGACAGAGGCAGACTAGAGCTTGGCAAGCATCTCCCAGACAAGCCAAGCTACCGCAGGTTTGCTTCACCAAGCCTGGCTTGATGGGGGCAGGGGTCACGTAAGCTGGCCTGTTGCTGCCGGCAGAGGGGAGGACTGGAGCCCTTCAGTGCTGCTTTGCAAAGCCCTGCTGGGGAACGGGCAAACTTGGTTGCCCCCACCCCGAAAACCCCCCCACAAAAAAAGACACGCGCACACACATGCACACCCACTGCCAGCGACGTAACCAATGCAGCTGAGAATCTCTCACCTCTTCCCTAGGACTGCCCCATGCGCCAGCTGCTCCAGCATCCCAGCTGCCCCCTGCTCAGCCTTTATAGGCCAGTGGGGAGCCCTCCCCCAGGCAGGACAGCTCCAGGAGGCAGGAGCCTTGGAGAGGGCAGGGGAAAGAGGCCTGGCTAGTCACATGCGACTCCTTTCACCCCCTGGGCTGGAGTCTTGGGTCCCGCCCTGGTGAGCAGCTATTGTCTGGGAGCTCAGACCGTGGGCTGTGATGTGGAGGGAAGGGCGTTAGCAGCACACTGGGGTCTGGAGGGTAATTCCTGTCTGGGTTTCATGCTGCCTGGCATTGCCGGCTGTTCTGGGGTGGAGGGTGCCCATCAGCCATGCCAGGGCCTATGTCCTGCTCTCAGGGAGCTCTGCTTGGCACAGCTCAGGGGCTGGGTCAGGCTGTGTGGAGGCATCTCTTGCTGGGGCACTGGTGGAGGTCAGAGGTCCATCTCCTGCACCAGGAAGCAAGCAGATCCCACCAACTGCACTGAGCTCTGTGCCGGGGGCACCGGACCACCCCTGGCTGCTGCTGGGGAGGGAGGTACCAGATGTGGGCACCGAAGGGCAGACCCCAGCCCAAGCCC